ATAATTTCTGTCATGCTGATATTTTTAAATTTGTGCGACTTCACTAAAAGTTATATATCTTGATGTAGGAACTTCGGAATCGCAAATCATTTGATTGATCAGAAACTAGAGTTCAAGATCTACAACATATCCAAAATTCATAGTTAAACACATTTTGGATCGTTCCAGATGATTTTTGAGCTCGGCTCTATATTCTGACGCGCCATCAGTTTCAGATTTGTGCGACTTCACCAAAAGTTTTATATCTTGATGTAGGAATCTCAGAATTGTAAACCATTTGACTTATCAGAAACTAGAGTCCAGGATCTACAACGAAATTCAGAGCTAAACACATTCAAGATCGTTCCAAATAATTTTTCGAAGTCGACTCTATATTCTGATGCGCCATCAGTTTCAGATTTAAGCGACTTCACCAAAAGTTTTATATCTTGATGTAGGAGCCTCGAAATCATAAACCGTTTAATTCCTCAGAACTATAGTTCAAGATCTACAACATATCCAAAATTTAGAATTAAACACTTTCAGGATCATTCTAGATGAATTTTGTTTGAAATCGGCTCTATATTCTAATGTGCCAACAGTTTCAGATTATCCCGGCTTCACCAAAACTTTTGTATCTCGATGTTGGAATGTCGAAATTGAAAACAGTTTTAATTGGTAGAACCTAGACTCGGAGTGCACCAGAATCATGGCCCGAATCATGCCAGATTGTTCTAGGCAATACTTTGAACTCAATTTTCGAATCTAATACGCCTTGACAGGTAACCGTCTTTCTTGTACTTGTATTTTCTTTTTGCTACCTTCATTTTGTTGTTGTAGGCAATGGGGATATATTCGTCAACAAGGTTAGACGCACATAGAAGGAAAAATTTGTGGAAAAAAATTGAAGGACAAATCTTCAACATCATATGGAAGGACAAATCCATGACGACATATAGATGATCAAGTCCACAACAACATATAAGAAGATAGATCCCTTGCAACATATAGACAGACAAATCTACATTGCCATATAGACGGATAAATCCATACCAACATATAGACAGATAAATCTACACCAACATATAGACAGACAAATCCACATCACATATAGACGGACAAATCTCCATCACCATATAGACGAACAAAATTCCATCACCATATTGACGGACAAATCTCCATCACCATATAGACGGATAAATTCATATCAACATATAGAAGTATCAAATCCATGACAACATATAGAAGTATCAAATCCATGAAGAGGACAACTTAAGGTTCAAAGGAACTTCAACGTCCACCTTAGGTTTGAAGAATTATAGCTCCTTTTAAGGACAAACTCGCGAAGAGACCAACTTAAGGTGCAAAGAGACTAACATGTCCACCTTAAGATTGGAATATTAGTAAACTTCAACTTGAAGTCTTGGCGGACTTTGAAGATTTCAACTTGAAGATCAACAAATTTGAAGATTTGATGGGCTTGAAAATTTGGTGGACTTTGATGCTTCAAATTGAAGAGCCGTGGACCTTTCCTTCAACTTGAAAAATTATTAGGCTTGAATATTTCAGCTTTAAGACTTGTAGGTCTTAAATAATTCAACCTGATGATTGGCGAATTTGAGGACTTCAAACTGAAGACCGACGGACATGAAGACTTGGAGGGACTGAATACTTCAACCTAAAGATTGGCGGACTTTTAGACTTCAACTTGAAGGGCGGTGGACTTGCAGAATTCAACTTGAAGAGCGACATACTTGAAGATTTGGAGGTCTTATATAATTCAACTTGAAGACTGGCGAACTTGAGGACTCCAAATTGACCACCGACAGACGTGAAGACTTGGAGGGCTTGAATACTTCGACTTGAAGACTGGCGGACTTGCAGACTTCAACTTGAAGGATGGTGGGCTTTGCAAAATTTAACTTGAAGAGGGACATACTTGAAGATTTTGGGGGCTTATATAATTCAACTTGAAGACCGGCGAACTTGAGGACTTCAAATTGAAGATTTGGCCTTCTACTAAAAGTCTACATCCATCAATCGGAGATGCCAATTTGCTCTGGAGGCTTTCCCCCATTGGACCACCAATCTTCAGTAAGTCACAAAGTTCGTGTAAGCCTGGTTTTTAATTTCCAATCAAGTGGATTATATTCCATCATTCTTCCCTCGAATAGCGATTGGGGTAATATGTATCTTTTGAACTTATGCAACTAAACTAAGAATGAAACTCCAAGCTGCCTACGTACCTCGATGAAGAGAATCAAGTCATGTCGTAGTTCAGAATAGGCGGATTTTTATTTTTTATTTTTTATTTTTTATGTCCTAACTTTTGCCTAGGACGCCTCTTTCGCGGTTTTTCGACCTAGCGAACTTTTGTTTTTGGGCCATATACAGTTTATACTCTTGTTGGCCAGGAGTAACATGCAGTTTATGCTCTTGCATTAAGGAGCGTAGTAACTTGCAGTTTAAGCTCGTATTTTAGGGAGCTTTGCGACTTGAAGACTTTGCTCAAATTTGAAGAGCTTCATGACGCGCAGTTTAGGCTCGTACGTCCAGGAGCGTTGCAACTTGAAGATTTAGCTTACAATTTGGAGTTCCGCTCGAATTTCAAGAGCTTCATTACTTGAAGAGTTAGCTCACAGTTGAAGAGCTTTGCAGCTTGATCAGTTTGCTCGAATTTGAAGAGCTTTACAACTTGAAAACTTTGCTCAAATTATAAAAGGCTTACGTCTTAAAGTTTGGTTTTAATTTGAAAAGTTTTGCGACTTGAAGCCTTTACTCTATTTTGAAGAGCTTTCGACTTGAGTATTTGCTCGAATTTGAAGAGATTTGCAACTTAAAGACTTTGCTCTAATTTTAAGAGCTTTACGTTTTAAAGTTTCTCTAATTTTAAAATCTTTGCGACTTGAAGTCTTTGCTCGACTTTGAAGAGCTTTCGACTTGAGTCTTTGCTCGAATTTGAAGAGCTTTTTAACTTGAAGACTTTGCTCGAATTTGAAAAGCTTTATGCCTTAAAGATTTAGTTCAAAATTGGGGAATTTAGTGATATAAAATACAGACTCATATGCCAAGAAGCATTACAACTTGCAGTTTAGGCTCGTGCTTTGAGGAGCATTATAACTTGCAGTTTAAGCTCGTGCGTTAAGGAGCGTTATAACGTGAAGTTTAGGCTCGTGCATTAAGGAGCATTGCAACATGCATGGACTCTTCAACTTCAACTTCATCTTCGGAGGAATACTTGCCCCCATTCTCAACATCCTCTGCTTCTATTTCATCATGAGGCTCAAAGCCAGGAAACCTTTGATCTCCACTTGTAGCCATACTCAATTCCATATCATGTGCACGAGTTGCTAGTTCTTCAAATGTTTTGGGCTTTATGCCTTGTAAGATATAGCGAAGACTCCAATACATTCCTTGAATGCACATTTCGATGCCAGAAGTTTTGCTAAGGTGATCTTTGCAGTTGAGGCTTAAGCTCCTCCAACAGTTGATGAAGTCAATAACTGGCTCATCCTTTCCTTGATGAGTGTTTGTAAGTTCGATCATGCTTACGATGCGTCTTGTGATATAGAAATGATTGAGAATCTCTTGCTCCAACTACTCCCAACTATCGATAGAACCAGGTTCGAGATTTGCGTACCAATCGAATGCATTACCTTTGAGAGAACGAACAAACTGTTTAACAAGATGATCACCATAAGTCCCAGCATTGTTGCATGTCTCGACGAAATGCACCACATGTTGCTTGGGATTTCCTTTTCCATCAAATTGTTGAAGCTTTGGAGGTTGATATCTAGTAGGCATCTTCAAGTTATCAATCCGTTGTGTCCATGACTTTGCATATGCGAGGGACGATTTAATCGGAGGATCAATTTATCTCCAATTGTCCCCATGATGAAGTCCTTCAATTGATCAACATGAATTAGACCTTCCGAAGAAACTTTGATCACTTTGACCACGATCGTTTGCCTCGCAACGGATTCTCCCCTGCTTTATCTTCGGAAAGCTCCACAGGTGCTTGAATTGATTTTGCTTCTGCTAATCTATCGAGCTCACTTGCTAAATTTTCGAGGCGAGTATCTCGATCCTCCATATACTTGGTCAACTTCTCAAGTGCTTTGGTCAAATTTGTAAGGTGTTCTTCCATGGTCGAATTGTTAGATCTTATAATATTTATGGAAAAATTCTAAAAACTTTCTCTCTCTTCACTCCAGCTTCTCTCTAAGCGCAGTAACGTGCGCTCTGGAGATCCATGGGAAGGGGACGAGGTCGGGGAAGGGGACGACCTAAGAAGGAATTGCAAATAGCCTTCGGAAGCATCGTGCATGTTCAATCTAAGTCAATTGCTTCAACATCAAAGCAACCAGTAGCAAAAATACCAATGGAACAGTACCCAGATCTGGAAGCTTCATCGAGCTCAACTGTGAAGAATGGATCTATAGCGGAGGTGGTGGATGCAGAAAAAACTCCAGTTCCAGTGAACTCACAGCTGGAAAATGGAAAGGAACAAAGTGAAGACACAATCCAAAAGGTCACCACTCCTGCTCAAGTAGAAGAAGCTCAAACAATGGACAAAGGTGAGAATCCGGAGATAAACAAGGAAACAAATGAGGTGAAGGATGAGGAATTGAAACCAAAGTGGAACAACTTGTTCGCTGGAAACAGAGCTGCAGAGAATGGTATGACTCTAAGCTATTTTCCACCTCAAATTGTTAATGGGGAACCTATAGTCCAGCTAGAGAAGAGCGATGTGGAAAAAGAAGCGGAGAAGTGGAAAAATGCCCTCATTGTCTATGTGATAGGGGAGACACCAGGATATTCAATCATGCAAAGATATATTTCTCAAATGTGGAACTCTATAATGATGCCAGATCTGTTTCTGCATGAGGAGGGATACTATGTGGTTCGATTCCATAACACAAATGATATGAATGAAATCCTATTTTCTGGGCCTTATTCTATTCGAAATCGACCATTATCTGAAACCATGGACTCCTGAATTTGATTTCAGTCAAGAGTTTATGACAGAGATACCTTTGTGGGTGAAATTTCCCAAATTGCCTATGAGTTGTTGGGGTTGTGGATCTTTGGGCAGAATAGCTAGTGCACTGGGGAAACCATTGTTTGCAAATGAATGTATGACTAAGCAAACAAGGATCTCCTATGCTAGAATGTTAATTGAAGTCAATGTATCAAAACCACTCCCTGACACAGTTGTGGTTATGGAGCCAAATGGAAAGAAATTTCAGCAGGAGGTGGTGTTTGAATGGAAACCTCAGTTCTGCCCTCAATGTTTAACTATAGGGCACATTTGCACAAAGCAACCTGAGCAACAAGGAAGACAAATGCAGAATAGAAGAAGAGGTGAGCAGAAATAAGTGATCCAGGAATAGAAACCTAAAGATGTCCCCTCACAGAGCCAACTGACAGATACACAGCAAACAATTCAGGTTGCAATCACTCAACACAAAGATGGTATGAACAAGCTGCAGCAACAGGACAAAGGACCACGCAGCAAAGTTACAACACATGTGGAAGGGCCAAAAAATGCCTCTAAAGACAAGGAGCAGATGCCTAGTCCAGAGCTGAACTTGATCAATTTCCCACAATTGAGTGCTGTTATGTTGAGTAATGTAAATAATGGGAATACTGGGGCAACACAAAGGGAGATACAGAGAATGAGACAAGTAGAACCACCTGAACCAGGTGGACCTATCACTGCTCAATGACCTGGCTGATATGGAATATTAGGGGTGTGAATAAAGTGTATAAACAGAAAGAGTTGAGAAAATATATAAGGATAAAAAATATTAAACTTCTGGGGCTGCTGGAAACCAGGGTTAAACAACACAGGTGGTCAAAAATAACTTCAAATATTGCACCAAACTGGGGGATAGTAAACGATTACTCTGCTGCAGCAAATGGGAGAATTTGGGTGATGTGGGATCAAGGTGAATATAGTATAAATACCCTGAAGGTGGAAGCTCAGTTAATACATTGTGAAGTTAGAGATACTTCTAATAAAGTACAATGTGTTCTAACTATTGTATATGGCTTTAACACTGTAGAAGAAAGGAGAAGTTTATGGTCAAGTTTGCAAGATATATCAATTAACACTAACTGTCCTTGGTTAGTTTGTGGAGACTTTAATGCAATCTTAACTACTGCAGATAGAAGAAGCTGCCATCCTGTGACTTTCAATGAGGTTAAAGAGTTTGCAGACTGTATCAATTACACTTTACTAAATGAACTACAATGGAAAGGTGAATACTATACATGGACAAATAAACAGCAGGCAGGGGAAAGAGTCAGTAGTAAAATAGACAGGGCTTTTGGTAATCATGACTGGATGGTGAACTGGGGTCATATAGTGTTAGAATATGATTTACCTAACATTTCTGATCATGCACCTATGCTGTTGACTTTACAAACTGTGAGCCAAAAGATCAGAGTTCCCTTCAGGTTCTTCAATATATGGGGAGAGCATGCACAATTTCTGGAAATAGTAGAGGCACATTGGAAGAAGCAGTTGGATAATGATCCTACGCAGAATGTTTGGAACAAGCTAAAGGCAATGAGATCAGCTTTCAGACAATTGAACCAAAAGGAATTTCAGGCAACTACAGAGAAAATTGACAGGGCAAGTGAAGAACTTCAAAAAATTCAAGTAGCAATGGGAGCAAACTATGATGATACTCTAGTGCCAAAGGAGAAAGAAGCTCTAATGCAGTTAGAGAAATGGAGCATGGTTGAAGAAAGCATACTAAAGCAGAAATCTAGAGCACAATGGATACAATTAGGAGATTCAAACTCTAAGTATTTTGCTGCAGTCATGAAAGAAAGATGCCACAGAAAGCAAATCAGAAACCTCAAGTCTTTACAAGGTGGTCAACTGTTATCTGAACCTAATGATTTGAAAGAAGAATTGTGTCCTTTTATAAAGGATTGATGGGAACCTCAAATAGCTACCTCAAAGCTGTCAATAGGATTACAATGAGTCATGGACCTAAGCTTAATCATGATCAACAGGTGTTACTGTGTGCTCCTGTTACTGATCAAGAGATAGCTGATGGATTAGAAGCAATTGGCAATGATAAGTCCCCTGGGTTAGATGGATATAATGCCTACTTCCACAAAAAGGCATGGAAAATTGTTGGCCCTGAGATCACAACAGCAGTAAAGAGATTCTTTGAAAGCAACAAGATGAATAGAGCTATTAACTGTACTTCTTTCACTTTAATTCCTAAGAATGATCATCCTGATACTGTGAAAGAGTACAGGCCAATTGCTTGCTGCACAGTGTTATACAAAATCATCTCCAAAATACTTGCATCAAGACTCCAAAAAGTCATTGCATCAATTGTGTGTGAGGTGCAGACAGGATTCATTCCAGGAAGGAAGATTTCTGATAATATATTTCTTGCTCAAGAGTTGGTGAAAGCCTATACAAGAAAAAATGTATCTCCTAGGTGCATGATTAAAATAGACCTCCAAAAGGCCTATGATTCTGTGGAATGGGTGTATCTGGAACAAGTCCTAGATGAGCTAAGTTTCCCTAGAAAGTTTACTGGATGGATCATGGAGTGTGTGAAAACTGTCAATTACTCTATTATGGTGAATGGAGAACCTACAGCTCCTTTCAATGCAGCTAAGGGACTCAGGCAGGGAGATCCAATCTCCCCATTCCTATTTGCAATTTCCATGGAATACCTCAGTAGGAACCTCAATGCTGTGAAAGAAAGCCAAGAATTCAAGTACCACCCAAAGTGTTCTAAACTATATTTGACTCACTTGTATTTTGCATATGATTTATTATTATTCTCTAGAGGTGATGTTAAATCAGTGACTACCCTTCATAGATGTTTTAAAGACTTCTCAGATGCATCAGGTCTCCAAGCCAACAAAGAGAAAAACTTCATTTATTTTGGAGGGGTGACTCAAGAGGTGCAGGAACAAATCCTAAGGTTTTTAGGATTCCCTAAAGGAGATCTCCCCTTCAGATATCTGGGAATTCCTTTAGCTACAAAAAAGATCTCCTTAATCCAGTGGCAACCATTGATTACCAAGATGGTGGCTAAAATCACCTCTTGGACTGCCAAGAAGCTGTCATATGCAGGTCGAGCTCAGCTAATCCAAACTGTCCTCTTTGGTATTCAAGCTTACTGGGCACAACTGTTTGTTATCCCCTCAAAAGTGTTAAATACAATTGAAGCCTACTGTCGAAGCTACTTGTGGTCGGGCACAAATACAATCACTAGGAAGGCTTTAATTGCTTGGGAGAAGGTCTGTACTCCAAAGTCAATGGGTGGTTTAGGCTTGATGAACATGAGACTATGGAATAAAGCTACAATAAGTAAAGCTAGTTGGGATATAGAACACAAAAGTGACAGGCTATGGATTAGATGGCTACATGTATACTATATCAAGAACCAACAATTTGATCAAATGGCTATCCCTCAACAAGCTGGATGGATGGTAAAGAAATTGTTTGAGGCAAGAAGCTCATTGCCACTGATATAAGTCAACATTGCAGGGAGTGTAATCAAGCAGATCTATTATCAGCTTCTGGGAAACAATGCAAAAATTTCATGGAAAACATTGAGGTTTGG